TCTTGAGATTTTAAGAAAATAAGGCAAAATATTTTCAAAAGAAATAAAATTTTGAATAGAACAAACTAAGATTATAAATATTAAAAAACTAGTACTGTCCCATACTAAGAGAAAACATAGTTTTATAGGAGAATTAAATAAAGAAATTATCAAAACATAATAGTTGTGAGCTTAGATGCAAAAACACTGTAAAATTCAATGTCAACCAAAATTTATGACTAAAGATGTCATTTCAATTGTGTCATAAAAGAGAAGTTTTTATACCATTTTTGGTTATGCTTTTGTGAATATTTAAAAAAAATGTCCCATTAGTAAGATAGGACATGAAGGATGGGAGCAATTTACAATGTTTTTATTTAGCTGTGATTTAGTAAATGATCTGATTTGTGGTATATGTATTTATATATGCACATTTGCATATTCATATACATATATATACATCTGCATGTATGTAATATATACATACATAATTTCCATGAATGTGTGTGTATGCACATACTTATAAATGGACTATATATGCACATCTCCTTACATGGTTAGGTTGTTGTGAATGGCTTTCCTACAGCTCTAATAGTGCCATCTCCCAGTTAGGAGTTAGCTTGAGGCTTCTATGTCTTAGTGGTGTCATAGTGGTAGCAGAATATTACAGTTGATAATCCTCACTAGAGAAAATTTGAGGTGAGAATTAACCACAAACTGCTTTAATAAAAAAATGTTATGCCAGCTTTCTTAAAATTGACAAAACAGAAGTAAAAACTAAGTAATTTCAATTTTTAGAGAACTGGTTGGGTCGGAACACAGTTTCTTATACAGGTGTACTTCTTCAGGTAATATTTGGCACTCCTTTTTCTCCTCCTTCCTTTTTACTACATATCAAACATTTTCTTTTCTCCTGAATAATCTAGCTATCTTAATTTGGTCTCAAGTCTCAGGCAATTTTGCCTAGTGGTCACTTCTGGATATTGGTCTCTTTTACCTTAGTGAATAAAAGTTTTACTGTTTCCAAAGAAGTTTTAATGTAGTCTCTTAATTTCTGACTATTGAGAAGAGCCCCCATGATCTAACTTTTTCTAATTATAGATATTCATTTCTTTAAAAAAATGAGAATAGTTGTGGTGAAGTAGAAATTCTGAGAATGATTCCCTCCAAGTCTTCCCAAGTCTTGTTTGACTTATTGGCAGGATGATAACCAAGGTAAGTGCTTTGCAGCTCTTTTCCAGTTTACCCAATAAGTACATGCAAAGCACTTGGGAAGTTATTTCTAAAGTGAAGAATCCATGAAAAAGCCAGAATGTGAGCAAGCATTATGCACAGATAGGAAGCTCTGCATAACTGCAGGACTCTGCAGTCATTTAGAGGGGATGTGGTCACATACCAGATCCGTCCTTTGAAGCTAACACACAGGGAACACTAGCTACCTCACCCATGTCCCAGTTTTTTTAATTTTTAATTTTTTTAGCATATCTAAGAAGAGAAATAAATTTTCAAGGAATTTTACAAGTTGGGATCTGGGCTCTTAACATTTCAAAGGGGGTTTAGATTAGCCAAGAGTAGAAATTACTTGACTTTAAATTTTTTTCAGAAATTGATAACTAGAAGTAATTATTGTTCATGACAGTGGAATCTCCACTAAATATTTTTAAGAACAGATACAACTATAATTTGTTTTGCACCTAAAACATAGAAACAGGGGGACAGACTAAGTGATCTTCAGCTAGTAACAAATATGTAACTTTTCCTTTGGTATGAAGTCAGTATTGTAAGAATCATAAATTGGAATGAAAAATTGGGAATTGTCCTAATGAGACTATCATCATTATTAAAATATTGTTGCTTTACTTATGGAGGGTAAGCATTGAGAATCATTTTTTTACTGCAAACATAGCCATTCTAACTGATTATGTTGAAATATAAATAAATAATGGCATTAAAATGTATATTGGGAGTTAAAAAAACTGTTTTTTCAATTGCTGTATAATCAAGTTTTACTTATTCACATTTACAAATAAAAATAGTGGCAGCCTTATAACATTGAGATTAGAATTTGGAATATGTTGCATTATTTTATTTACAGGATCATGTTTATCCTTCTCTTTGATTTGCTTAGATGAGAACTAAAATTAGCTTTCATTTCCTGGATATATGAAAACTCTTATTTTGGAGAAACAACTCAGAAGCATATTAAATGACAGGGAAGAATTAAAAGTTGAACTAAAGATCATCCAGGTATAATGAAGCATCTTGTTTAGGAAACTCAGTGATGAGTTTTTGTGCTTTGTGTCTCTTGTTAAAATGTTAATTTCAGGGCATTTAAAATTTCAGAAATAAATTCAAGGCAGGCATTTGGCACTGGACAAAAAGCAATTGGTGATGTGGATTGGGATGTTGTAGAGTTCTCAAGTATCTTTTTGCCTATAGTTTATCTTTGTTTCTCATTTCTTCTCCCCTCCATTCCTTATTATTCTCTCAGGCTATTTTACCTGCCTTTGATAATTGTGTGAATGTTTTAAGTTTTCAAAATAGAGTCATTCAGACCAGGATATAGGTAAGAAAAAAATTGGACAATTTAAAATTTAATTTGGTTCATACATATTCAGATAGAAGCATTTCCATTATATAAATTTCAGTGTACACATTCAAAGGTTCATTCTTTTAAGGTACCTTTATACCTATGCTTGACAAGTATTATCCTTTATGTTCTGACATGAGATTCTTGCTCTTTCTTGTTTTTAGAAATCCACAGTATGATAGACTTTGAATGAAAGGCCATTGGAAAACACAACTCCTGGTTTAATACTGTTTCTTAGGAGAGGAGAGGAGAAAAGGAGAGGGTATGGATATGAAAACCCAATGCATTATGTCAAAGCACACATCCTATTCTAACTATATTTCATGGGTTGGAAAATAGAACAAAGACAAATCATAACAACAAGAGAAGTCATTACCATTATACTTTAGCCACTTGGTTTTGAGATAGTAATTTTCTTTTTTACATTTTAACATTTATAAGATTAGGACATATAATATGAATGTGTGAATTACTTTGGCAGCTAATTTTTCCTTTATTTACACTAAAAGCTATAATTAAACTGATATTTCCTTTATAATCCACAGAATATTAGAATTGAAGAATGTGTCACATTAAAATATAACCTCCAGCAATCTCATTCAAAGGAAATGAAAACAATAGGAGAGGTATCTGCACTCCATTTATTGAGAACACTATTCATAAGCCAAGATACTGAATGAAGCAAAGCATTCATGAGTGGATAAGTAAAATGTGGTACATGCATATGATGGAATATTATTCAACCATGAAGAAATATGAAATCTTGTGACATTTCTGGCAACATGGATGAAATTGGAGGACAGAGTGAAAGATAAATACTGCATTTTCTCAATCATATGTGGAAGTTAAATAGGTTATTTTCATAGAAACAGAAAGTAGAGACTAGGAAAGGTCGGGGGAGGAAAGGTAATGAGAGGTAAGACAATGTTACCAGAACAGTTAGGTAGGAGGAAGATACTGTTGTGTTCTTTAGTACAACATGATGCCTATAGCTTATAAAAATTTATTATATATCTCTCTATCACAGAGGAGCTCAAACTTTTCAACACAAGGAAATGCTAATTACTCTGATTTGATCATTACACATTGTATGCACATATTGAATTGTCACAGAGTACTCCATAAATATGTATTATTACTATATGTCAATTATGAATAAAATTTGAAAACTACAAAGAAGCAAACAAATCAGAAGCAAACAAACAATAACTGAACAATCCTCCTAAAGGTTTCAAGTCCTTTCTGGGCAGGACTAAGCAACAATGCCATGGTCATGACACAATGTTAGCTTAGAGATATGGAGGACTCATTTATGCCCCCAATTTTTTTCTCAATTCACAGCAGCACTGTTTAGTTGGTGTATTGTGTCGGGCTCTGTACTAGGCACTAACCTTATAAAGATGACCAAGATGAATTCTGCACATTCTCAAATAAAACTTAACCTTTCATTTAAAAAACTTGGCTCACTTTTCTAACTATGTAAAATCACTATATATTAAATGAATGACACACTTAAAAGTCTGAAAGAACCCAGCAAAAGCAATTAAATGGAAAATGTGAATCAGCTATGTGGTGCTCTTTAACCTGGAGTCAGAGCCCTGGGTTTAACAGTAATGGACATATGACTCATTAAGACTAAGAGAGGCTGTAATTTTAAAAGAAGCATGATATTTAGGTGACAGTTTAAAAGGCATTAAATTACCATTTTTAACCTTGTATTTTACAAATACATAAAAGGAGGAACAACAACTATTTGTAACAATGTGATGACCCATCTTTCCTATTTGTAACAACATTTAATTGCCATTATGCTAGTGAATTAAATTGCATTGATTAAAGACTGTTTCGATAAGACTTTAAATGTACTCTGGAAGAGTCTGTTCTTGTAGACTCTTTTGAATATATTTAAGACCTGTCTCTTATGACTCTCTTTTTTTTCTGTTTTGGGTATTAGCTTTAATATATGGACTTGTTAATTAACCACAAGGTATCTGCAATGAAGTTTCTAACTGTGATATTTGATAGAATAGAATTGGACAACTAGTCGTATTTATTCAAAGTTGTGAATTCTTAAAAGTGCCTACATTCTTTCCATCTCAAACCTGGGCCAGCAGGATAGGCCAGGAATGAAGTGAGGGCTGGGGGCTGTTTTACCAGGGTTTGCACCTGGGCTTCCAACTCTGAGAGGTAGGAGGCCATGAGAACAAGCAGTGTGTAAGAGGGTCTCCTGTGTGGTTGTCCCCTGGAAAGAGCCTCTGCCCACTCTGTGCCTATGTTCAGTCCATCTGGGATGGACCAAGGTCAAGTCTGAAAAGCTTTTCTTTATCCTTGAATTTACTGTGATGTGGACTGGGACACCAGTGCTGCTATTCCTAGTTTTATGGTTCCCAAAATATTCTATTAGTCTTTTTTTTTTTTTTTTTTTTTGCAGGGGCAGAAAAGAGCTGGTTCTCCCTTTGTCATGGATATGGTCTGGGCCCTGGGTGGTACTTCCTGTCAGCAAATGCACGTGAAGAGGAAGCCTGCGTGGGAGACTGACATGGCAGGTGGAGTTGGGGTGTCTTTGTCCTTTGGGCATCAGCAGGAAGCAGGTGATAAGGATGAGTTGTGCCAGTTTTTCTCTAACTATGTTATAGAGAAGGTTCAAATGGTATATCAGTAGAGGTCAAATGTGGGGCCTGAAAGAAACACAGGGAACTAAGAATTACAGCCAGGGAAATGATATGGAAGTTAAAATAACAGGAAAAGGGTGGAAGGGAGGGACAATCAAGTCTTTGTCTGAACTGCTGGTGTTGCTTTGAGGTTGGAAGAAGAGAATTCAGTGAGACTTTATTTCAAACTCCTTAGGAAAACGTAAGAGGTTTTCATAAAGATTGGGTTAAATTTCTCCTACTTCCTTTCTCCTAATCAAGTTGACAATTTTTTTTCTTGGTGGCACTGGGGATTGAACCCAGGGCCTTGTGCATATGAGGCAAGCACTTTACCAACTGAGCTATATCCCCAGCCCTTCAAGTTGTCTTTTTGATGCTTTTGGTTCCTATCAAATCATCTTTTCAATTTGGCAGTAACAGTTCTCTCTGTGCATATGTGACTGTATATCTAGTCCATCTCTGTCTCCAATTACATCTATGTTTCTACATATGACTTTCTTTTTTGAGCTAAAACAAAGGCCACATATTCTTAGGAAATGTGATTACGTTTTGTTTGAATAGAAGTCTGCAAAACACCTACTATGTCATTTAGGCAAGGGTAATGCTTGATTGAAATATTTTCAAGTGAAGGTACACCCTAGGAAAAACACACTGTATAATATTTCTAATCTGTTAAGGATAATAAATAACAGAAATGTTATACATTCTTTAGGTGACAACCATTTCTCCCTGATAATTATGTGACAGATGTATTCTTATGAACTGCTATTTGTATTTCTTTAAATAGCAGCATAATTAAAAGGAGATTAGAATCTATAAATCCACTCTATAATTTTATAGTTTCCTGAATATGCTCAACAATAGTTGTAAAAGAATAGTTTGAAGGTATTAATGTTCAGGGTAGGAGTAAAGGTAGCACTTTTTCAGGTTGATGTAGTTATTTTTTTTAATTTTAAAAATTGTGGTAAGATATATATAATATTTAAATTTTGGACATTTGTTAATGTTTTGATATTGATAAATGTTGAACAATCAAAACTCAATTGCATCTAAGTCAAAATTTCATGTCCTCATTTACTGGTAGTGAAAGGAACAGAGGGAACAACAAAATTAAAAAAATAAAACAAAACAAAAACTTGGTAGAAGACTGAAGAATAAACTAAGTTGATTAAAATCAAGTAGAGTTTTTGTTTAACTGACACTGATTTTTCTATTTTTTTTTTACTGTTTTTATAAAGTCATAAAACACTATCCTAAAACCAGATAGAATGAAAACCAATTATATTTTTTAGATATAAAATGCTTTTCAAGTAGGTATTTCTTCACTTTTATGACTCTTGGTTAGAAAAATGTTGCAATAACACATCAGAAAAATGATACGTTTAAGAGGAGATTTCATTGTTGTACCAAAACCTATGATAGAATTTTAGGTTTAGTCTAGATGATACATTAGTGAGCACCTAATCTGAATTCTTCATTTTATAGTCAAGGAAAATGACGTCCATAAGGATTTATCTTTTTACCTAACCATCTGTCTGCCTAGAACATGCTTTGTTCCAGAAAGCACTATAAAGTAGTTTGCAAGAATACATAAAATAAAGAACATAAATTGGAAGTAGGTGAAAAAGGCAAGGATTAAAAAAAAAAAAGTAGCATCAGACAAAACAGGACTAAAACTAGCTCAGAAGATCACACCCTTAAATCTCAGGCATTTGGTGGGAACTTAGAAGTTCTACTGGTCTCTGTGCAGCAGGAAATCTGATTAGTTAAGCAGTTCAGTTACTCTAAAGATAATTGAAAGCCATCTGGTCGTTCATAACATGGACAACTACTTAGAATGCAAGGAATAAATACCTCTCATGAACCTTGTTAAGAGAACATGTCTTCTAAATCAACAACATCTTGAAGACTTCATTATAGGAGACAGAGCAACAAATTCCTAGGTTTTTTAATTTTTATTTTTTTATGCTTTCTCTCAACTACCAGCAGATTACCCTTGTCTAGGGTGCAATTTGGTAAAGTCTGAATGGTCTGAATCCTTCTCTGTCAGCTGGAACCTCCTGGGAGGACATGGAGTGTTGAGTCCTACCCAGGTGTAGCTTGAACTCCTTTTTTATTCAGTGGTCAGAGACTCTTAACTTTGCTTTTCCAGACTGTTGAAAAGAAAGCTACATTGTAACAACTTGAGACTTCCTGGGGCTAACATTGTAATGTTATTCACAAACATTTTAGGGTTGGAAATCTGGGATGCTTGATTAACACATCAGATTGCTTTGCTCTGATTCAAGAAGGTGGGACTCAGGAATCTGTGTGTAATGCGGGTAGGAGAACCCACACTTTGAGAAATGCTGGACAGTCTTCTTGGAAGGAATATCTGTGACTTGATCCTTTAAGGGTGGTACAGATATACTTTGACCAAAGACTTTATTGGTGGTTTCTTCTTCCTTACTGCTTAGATCTTTGCTATGGCCTTTCAACTGGCTTAACTGTCTCAAGGACTGTCCCCATTACTAATAATTTTTTTTCTGTTGCTCCTTGCATGATTTATGAAATGCAAATCTGATCAGATTACTTTTCCACTTAAAACTCTTTCTGATTTTATATTGTATCTGGAATGAATGTCCAACTTCCTTCTCATGGCATGTGATACCTTCCACAGGGCTAGTCCCTGCCTGCCTTCTTCATTGTCTGCTTCACTCACACCATTACACTGTGGCAGTGTGATGCCTTTCTCTTAGTGCTTACCAACAGAACTCTCTTCATCCTTTAAGTCCAACCTGAAGGATACCTGCTTATTGAGGCCTATAGATCCCCACACTTAACACATTATATTGCATTACTTATTTAAACATTGATATAATTTGCTGGATTGAGAACTGTCTGAAGGCTTCTGCTTTATCTTAATGTTACACATCTAGTATGTAACACAACAACTAGCACATAGCACTCAAATATATTTATTGAATAAAGCTGAAAAAGGGTACAGATCCATAAAGCATGACTAGAAAGAAATATACCAGAATGAACCAGCAAAGAACTGAGACCTGCCAACAGCCCTGTGAACAAGTCTGGAAATCAGTCCTGTACTTGCAGTTGAGTATGAGATACCCTCAGACTTGATGGCAACATAAGGAGACGTTGCTGAGTGTTCTTGTCAGGTACTTTAGCCAGTCACAAAAAGCTGACTAACATGGATGGTAACTTTTTGAGTTGTGTACTTTCCCCTCAAAATTATTAAGAATTTTCAGGCAGGAATTAGTGAGGGAAAAGACAAAGAGGTGCATAGCAGTTTGGGATGGTCATGTGTTGGGAAAGTAGAGGTGAAGCAGGAAGTGAGAAGGAAGGTCAGGGAATAATGTGGATCGCTAGACAGAACAGGACCAGAGAGGAAACACAATCTTGAGACACAGTCAAACCTGGCTGGTGTTTCCACCTACTAATTTTAACTTAAGGTAAGATTTTCCCATTTGTAAAATGATAATGACAATGTCTAACACATACAATACCTCATTGATTGTTAAGTTATATGACCTCTGCTGATGAATTTTATCAAAACATGGATGTTAAAGAAGTCAGAACTTATCAGCATCTTGGGTGCCTAAACTATAGTATTTTTAATCAGAGGCAGTATTTTATATAAAATCTTAATAGTGAAGCTGCATTATCAAGAAGGAAAATTATAGAGCTCAGGAAGTAATTGAAAAGGAAGTAAGAATGCAAGGGTGTAAGCAGATGTATCATGCAAGCTGTTTGGTTTTCCATGAAAAATGTCTTCTTCATCTTTCACAGTGAAATTAAGAGTGGAAATTGGAGGCTGAATGGGGAAAAATGCTCAAGAAGCATGATTCTTGCTTAATCAAGAGTCTCAGAGATCAGGGCTGCCTTTGTGGAGGCCCTAGGAGAGTGAGTAGGTTCCTAGTTAAAGGCAAACTTCAGGGCTGCATGGCTGAAGGAAGAAATTGCAGTGGAATTGAAATGCCATATTTCTCTATACTAGTGCAAAAGGAATGATACAAGGGAATGAAAAAGGAAAATTTGAGGATTGAGCTGGTTATGCTTTTTGAGTGTGTTCTAATAGTATTACCATGATGTCATAGTATATTGATTTAATGACCACTGAACATAGAAACTGTAATTGAATATACTCTTGAGGACATGATCATGTACTACTCTTGTGTAATAAGAATTAAAGATTTACATAATAAAACCAGGGAAAGGAGATTTTTTGGGTATGTACTGTGTTCTGGAATCCAGATTTTCTTTTATGAAAAACATTTTTCAAAACAAATCTCCCCAAGTTTTTTCCAGTGGAAAGATTTCCCTCCTCAATTTGCCTTGTCTTTTAAGCTGTTGAATTTTATTTCCTTTTATTCCTCTCCTTTTTTCACTAATGTTTCTATGCCAGCCTCTTTGTATCTTCCCGGACATAACAGCTCTTCTCCTTGTGCCATCTGCTGCCTCCTACGTGAGTCAGCCCTGGTAATGGAGGAGACTCTGCATTCCCAGTAACAGCGCATTCAGGGGAAAGTATTTTTGTTCTTTTTTAGATGTAACAGATTACTATTAGCCACATGCTTCTGACCAGAGAGCATTGCCCGAATAATATCTTAGAGGTAAATAATGTACAGCTGTTGATTATTTTACTTTGAATACATTTGCATGAATTTAATTATATTGTATGGTCTATAAATGAAGAATCAAATTATCAATATTTTTTAAAAGGTAACCAAGCATCCATATGTTTCAGATAACATTTAGATGATACATGATTAACAACAGAAACCCTCCTATTGTAAAGCTATACACTATCTTTAAAGACACAATTTTAGTTTCTAGTAATATCACAAGTTGGAGTAGTAGAGGAAAAATTGCATGTGTTATATACTAATGTGCTATGTTTTAATTTTTATGCCATTATTTTTTTCAGGTCAACTCAAAGGGAAAAATACTACATTTAAAAATGCCTAAGCATATTCACATGATAATTATTTATTTAAATGAGGATAATTTAAATGTGTTGTACCTATATGTCAAGAGCGACATTACATTTCCATAAACCAACTCAAAATCACAAAGGAGGCACAAAGAACAAAGGAGCCGAAATCCTAAGAGACATTGTAATAGTATACTTGGCAGCACAGAATGTTGAGTTCTGAACAGACCAGAAAGATGCAGCTTCTGCCAACAATAACTGAGAGGGAAAATAGTTTCCTCAGTAAATCCAAGTACAGACAGTGTGGCTATATCACTATTAAAGAGCCCATAGAGACAGATTAAAAGAAAACATTGTTTATACCTTGTATATCACATGAATGGAGATAGTTTACAAAGATTCACCTGTTTATAAATACATAAACGAACAAGGGTTAGTAGGCATGTTTTACTTTCTTTCTTTTTTTTTTTTTTTTCAAATGTTGACTCAGGTTGATGCCCATGAGTAAGATAAATTATTTTTAATTTGCATACTATAAGGTACATCACAAAATATCATTTAAATTTTAAAAAATTTGAACAGTTTGTTTTTGAAAGGGGGTGTTAGCTTTTGCTTGGGTAATGGAAATGCCCAATATCTCAACGGCTTACAAGAACATTTATTTCTAATTCATTCTGCAAGCTAGCTTCAGGTCAGCTGCACTGCTTTGGCTGGTCTTTCTGGGTTTAGCTTCATGGGTTCTTCCTCCCCAGGGCCAAGGCTGAAGGAGGTGTCTATTGGGTCCTGCTGGTCTCATGGCAGTAAGCACACACAAGAGGGGCAGAACCTAGCACAGAAGCATATTTATGCTCCTGCTAGAAGGTGGCCTGAGAGATGTCTGCTCACATTATTTAGTCAAAACAAGTCATAAAGCTAAGCCCAAAGTCAGAGGAGTTGGAATTATATTCCTCCTACTGAGAAAAAATTGCAAAAGCGGGGAGGAAATGAAAAATTGTGAACAAAGAACACAATCTGACACTGTTGGTAAAAGACATGTCTTTAATTAATATTTTGGAAGGCGTCTTTAATAAAATCCTCTGTGAAAGATCATTGAGATGATCTATAGTTTATTCGAAGCCCTTATTTGTTGTCAAAGCATTTGACAAATGTGGACAATTTCCTCCCTGAAACTTTCTCTCTCTCTCTCTTTTTTTTTTCTCTGTAGCATTTTTCTTCATTCTCTCCTTTCCTCTGTATGCCTCCTTTAATGACCTTTCTTCCTGGGGTCCTTTAAACAAGGATTCCCAATGGTTCTTTCATTGGCCCGTATTATAACTAAGCAATTCCAGTTCCAATTCAGTGTGGATACAACTTCTCTAGTACTGACCTCAAGAACTGTAGTCTCGCCTGCATTCTAGGACATCCATTAGAGTGGTTTTTGGTACCCCAAGTTAAATATCGTTTGTTGTTAGAAACTTATCTTCTTTCTATCTAGACGTGTCCCTCCTCTTTACCATATTACTCATGTCAGCATTGTTTTCTGGGTCCTTCTGACTCAGAACTTTGTGTTGTATTTGACTCCTCCCTCCTGCCAACACCCACTCAGTGAATGCTAAGTCACAGAGCATCCTATTATCTCGATTTCCTGGTACTGGCCATTCATTTCTTTCTACTATCATCATTCTGGCTTCCCTCTTCAGTCCATCCCAACCACTCAAACTAATGCACATTCTTCCCCAATGTTCTCTCCTATCTAGAATGTCTTTAAGACAAAATTGGTTACAAATGTAACCTAATATACAAGGCTTTCATAGTGTTTGTAAGTCAATTTTTTGAGGTTATTTTCTAAAAGTTAATGTTCACTTTTAGGGAACTTCATATCACTTGAACACATTCAACATTTCTGACTTACTTTATTTGATTTACTTTTTTCTTTCTGTAATATACTCTTAGCCCCAACTTTTGTTCTGATGCAACCTGTGACTTTAAATTCAATCCATAAAGATATCTCTTCCAAAAACTTTGATAGCTATTAGCTTCTGTCTGTTCTGAGAATAGATTTGCTTTGTGTTTCATTCCCATGTTTATTTTAAAACGACTTTATAAAATTATTTCTTCAATAAGAGACTATAACCTTTCAAGGAATCAAGACTGAATATTACTCTACTTATAATTCCTTGCAGCATCTAACCCAACACTTTGTATAAATAAATTAATTTACTAGTAATAGTAAGGTATTGAACCTAAGGTCTTGCGCATGCTAGGCAAGTTCTCTACTTCTGAGCTACATCCCCAGCTCCTAAAACAAATTTACAATGTTACCTTTAGAATTTAACTCAGGAGCCAAACTCTCTGGCACATAATAAGCACACCATTAATGTTAATTATAAGTGTTTTTTGTTATTATTAAATTTTTAACAACTGCTAGTAGAATTTGGTTACATTTACTTGAAACAGTTTCACATCATTTCCCACCTTTTAATAAAGTGATTAGTAAATGAGAACAAACAAATTCTACATAGAGACCATTGAGCAATGATTTATATTTCCATTTACAATAAACATTCATTATGAGCTTTCTTTGGGAGTGTTGAGACCCATTCTTTGCACAATGTTAATTTCTATATAGAGTGTTTAGCTTAGCTTTCATAGTAAAGGAATTTCCTGAAATAAATGAATTCTCTGCAACCTGCCAAAAGATCATTAAAATAACCATTAAGTCTCCTTAGAAGATAAATATAGAAAGAAGCACTTTTTATTATGACTTGCTCAGCAGCTCAAGTTACTTCAGTTATTATTCTCTCTGAATAAATAGTTACCTACCACATAATTGCCTTGTTTCACACTATGAACTTGGAGAATTATTTAAAAATAGGTCACAAATCAGTAGGTAGGTGGGAGCGTGTGGGGTGATCCACCACTAATTTCAGTTTTTAAAATACAGACTTTAAATTCTCATGTTTATTTTAAAATGATTAAATGTCATGATTTTTTGAAAATGCAAATGTATCAGAGTCATCACACTGGTGAATACTAAGAGGATTGGTGTCAGAAAAAAGAAGTAGAAATATGGTTTTTTAAGATTCAAAATCATTAGACTCAAATGTGTTTCATTAAATTTGAACTTTTTTTTGTGGGGGGGGGAGGAAGAAACACATTTTTGAGTTTCCCATTGGAATTTCTTGTAAGTAAACTTTGAAAATGTTTTGCAATAACTGTCAGAAATAACAGTTGCACTTTTGTTGTCTTCCTTAATCCCCCTGTGTTTAGAGATCACCACAAAGAAAGGAAAGGTTACATTGAATTTTTATTTCTCAAACCTTTGAATAACACTTTAGTGAAGTTTTCTACATAAATATCTTCTTAAAGTAATGGGATTTAAAACTTTATAAAAAAAGATAGCTTGTCTTATTCTTTAGAAATTCTCAAATATGTAAATTAATTAGCCAAAACAAGGATGTTTAAGTGGCTAAGTGTGTATATATTTAGAACAGGTCATCTTTACCTCACTTTTAAAGGCTTGCACCTTCAGGTATTAGGAACCAGATATTTTACGTGTTCAAGTTGTAAAAGAGGCACAAAATGCAAACTTATAACCACTTTTACAAGCATAAATATTAACTATGAATGCTAATTAGCTTAGTATGGACCAGGTATGTACTTATATTTATCTAGCTACTTAAAAGTCTTGCATTTCTTATGTATAAACAAGAGGTGAGGACTAGATTGTTTTTAAGTTTCAAGTACTAAATTTCTTTAGGTCTCACATCAAAATTATTCTATGAATAGGACCCATAGATGGCAGTACCATGTAATAAAAAAACAATGAAAAGAAAAATGATGATTTTTTTTTATTTCTCCAGATTGAATACAACATAAAATCAAAACTCATTTTTTTACAGAGTTTCAAATGGAAAATAAGAAAGCAAAAGAAAATGGCCATCTTCATAATCATTTCTGTTTTCCAACATTCAAGTTTCATGAAACCTAGTTGCACAACATGAAGACTGGAGAGAAAAGTCTCTAATGCATTGGAAAGCAAAAAAATCACCAGGTTTCTTAAGGAAAAATAAGAAGGGCAAATTCTGATACCAGAAAAAAACTGGATTATTGAAAGAGGACAGTAGAAATAATAGGCCTTCTGAAAGAAAAGTGAAACAACGACCTTGACAACAGCAGTTTCTGAAACGGACGCTGCAGTGACCTTGGGCGGCGCGGGAAGGACGCTTGGCGCCGGGCAGAGACAAGATGGCGGAGCAGGCCGCAAGGCCAGGCCCAGCAGCTCCTTGGTACTGGGCTTCCGAGGCGGAAGACGGCTCCTCCGCGAGGTGAGTGTCCAGGGAACCTCACAGACACATTAGAACACTGAATTGAAAAACAAACAGAATTCCTAGAGCTGCAGAGAGTCGTAACTAGAGCATCAGAAATAACAGCTCAGAGCGGCGCCAGCTGGGCCGCCATGGCGGGAGCGGGAGCGCGGACCAGAGAGACGCGGGGCCCGTGGGTGAAGAAAATGAAAAATAGACAAAACCCGACACAGGGAGACCTGTGGATTCCAGAAGAAGGCCGATTTTAATGAACGCAGAGTTAGTAGGGCAAGCCATCTGCTGGGGTGAAAGCCTTGCGGGCGGCGGGCCTGAGCCCTCTGGAGGGCAGAGCGCTGGCAGGTGAGGAGCCGGTTCCAGGGGCAGAAGCTGCACAAGTGTGAACAGAGAGGGGATGGGAGGGTGTGGGGTTGTGGGGATGGGGGGAAGGGACTGGGAACTCATCCAGGAGGTTGCTAGCAGCGGAGGGAAAAATCCAGAGGATGCCTGAGCCAAAAAGACAAAGAAGACTTTACCCGGACACTTCAGCCTCTGGATCTCAAGGGAGAAAAGAAACATAATAGTTGGCTCCCTATAAGAGCTGTTGGCCATCAAGCCATCTGCGATCCAGAGTGGATAAAGGGTAATTCACATTCAGAGCAGGGAAGGTGAAACCTGTTGGGGCTTAGTTCCTATATCCTTCAGGTGTATTTATCTGGAAGCCCCAGAAGTCCCGAAGTCCCACAGAGATAGGAAGCTCACCAACAAGAGTTCCCAAACCCACCAAAATCCAAATCCCCACAAATGGAAACTTCTCTCTAGAACTCTGCATCAGCACCACTCAGGCTTACACAGTTCATCAGCACTCTGTCGTCTGTCTTGCCCCAAACTGGGAGACTGAGAGCCAAGGGCTACTACACCTAACTGGCAGCTAGCTGAGGAATGCAAGGACAGTGGCCAAAAATACAAAGCCAAATTTTAAAGACTGAGAATGTATACCTGCCAACAGATTTGATCACCACAGTGGAAACAAACCCTCTATCATTAAGATTTTTATTTTTCTTATTTCTTTTGTCTGCTATTGTCTATTTTTTAACTTTAAAAATTTTAAACTTTTTTTTTTTCGATTTTAAGCATCATTTTATCATTGTAGTATCCCTCACTTTTGTTCATGATTTTGTATGTGAGTGTGTGGATGTGTATTCTCTCACTGCATGGATAGGTTTGAATATATATGTACATAAATTCATATGACTTTTACATTAATAGCTCTCACCTACATGTGTGTGTTATCTATCCTAGATTAGACATAGGTGGGGTACAATTATATGAGGGTTTGAGTTGTTTGCATCTCATATTTGCTGCTTTGTTCTTACTTAGGTTCTGGGCTCTCATCTTCCCTTCTTCACTTTCTTCCCTCAGCAACAGCCAAACTTTCCCTTTCCCACCTCTTCTATTTCGTTTTCGCATTACTTTGTGTTAGTCTAGTATTCCTTCTTCATTACAGATGACCCTGCTTCCTACCTCCCACCTCTCCTCTGACCACCTTTTCAAACACTTCAATCTTTCTCTTGTCTTCCTACCCTATTCTCTTACTTAAGAAACTTATCCCATTAGATAATAGAAATTTCACAGATCATGTAATTACTACCCCATTCAAGTTGTTGTGATTATTAATACAATGGACTGCATAGTAAATACCTTCTGTCAAATACTGATCTAGTTCACAATTTTTAAATTTTTGGTATTGTTGTTAAATGCTTATCCCACCATTCCTATATAGGTTGTAGTAAGTGTTATAGATGTCAAAGTAGACATTAGACATCTACTAGTTGCTGGTGTTAGTGTCATTCTGGCTTTCTCCTTCCACTAAGAGGTGCTAGAAAGAGATTAGGACACTTCAAGATCACAGAGTATAAATCCTGCTGCTGAGAAATACATCTCCACCAAGCAATAGTGATTCTCATCCCACACACAATGTAGCCCACCTGAACCTTAACATCATTCCATCTTAAAACATAAAGAGACAAGCCTCTTAAAGCAACAGCCAGAACCTAACAAAGAACAATCAGAGAGGAACCTCTAGTCTCACTCCTTGACATTTACCCATATACCAAAAACAGAAGTCACTAAACAAATAGGATAATTGCACACAAAAAGACAAGTGTAAAAAAGAGGAATGGAACAGGAACCAAGACCTCTGTAAACATGAGGAAAGAGGCAAACAAATCTTCTCCTCAAATTCACAATCTCCCAACTGAGGATCCCACCGATATTTAAGTGGACAAAATCTCATAAAAGGTTATAAAATACACTATTAAAATGTTCAATGAGCTAAAAGAATATCTAAGGAATGAATTAAGAGAGCAAAGACAGGAGATAAAAGACCACTTTAATACAGGAATAGAAACATTGGAAAAAAACAAAACCAATCAGAACTCCTAGAAAGGAAGGAAACAATCAAATTAAAAACTGTATTGAAAGTATTACAAACAGATTAGCTGGTGTAGAAAATAGAAAATAAAATAGAAAATAGAGACAGGACCTTAAGTACACAGAAAATGGGCCAAGGACCTGAACAGACACTTCTCAGAGGAGGACATACAGTCAATCAACAAGTACATGAAAAAATGCTCACCATCTCTAGCAGTCAGAGAAATGCAAGTCAAAACCACCCTAAGATACCATCTCACTCCAGTAAGATTGGCAGCCATTATGAAGTCAAACAACAACAAGTGCTGGC